CACACACCATGTCCATTTAGGATGTATTGAATTTGAAATTGAAACTGAAATTTGGTGTCATTTCCAGTCCTGTGAGAAAGCTCGGTGAATGAGTGACAGACGAGAGTGCCTCTTCTTGTATTTTCACACAGATTCTACTTCCTGTCCGACGACGAGCTGCTGGAGATCCTGTCCCAGACGAAGGACCCCACGGCTGTGCAGCCCCATCTCCGAAAGTGCTTCGAGAACATCGCACGGGTACCAGCTCCCCGCCTTCCTCCCTGCCCTGTCCCTCCTCTCCCTAGCACAGCCTCGTCTCCCTTCACAGCCCTGACCCCCCTGCCTGGGCCGAGGGGGGCGCAGGCCTGCAGGTGTGATGGGGAGCCCCGCTCCTCCGTGAAGGTCCATTTCAGTCAATTAAATCGTTAGCAGCTGAGACAGAAGAAAAACCCACAAGACCCTGTCGTAATCCAGGACCAGGAATGAGAGAATGAGGCTTATTGATTTCGATTATCCTCTCCACCTGCTGTAGTTCATATCCTCACCTTCGTCTTCTGTCTCCGCAGCAGCACACGAACTCAGGGCTGCACCCCAGGCACCCCGCTTTCTGCCCCCCGTCTCTCACTGCTGCTCTGTCGTCCTGCAGCTGCAGTTCCAGCCCGACCTGCAGATCACCCACATGTACTCCGGCGAGGGCGAGGAGGTGCGGCTGTGTGCGCCGGTCTGCCCCTCGGGGAACGTGGAGGACTGGCTGCTGGAGGTGGAGAGGTCCATGAGGGCCAGCCTGCGGGACCACATCGACAGAGCCCTGCGCGAGTACCCCCAGGTCTGGCCTCGCTGCCGGAGAACCCCCACAGAAACCACAGCCGCCCGAGACACGTCTCGGTCATCGCCGCAGCCTGTCTTGGCTATCCCAGTAAAACTGTAATATTGCAGGACAGACAGCCAGATCACAAGTGAGAGGAGTCCTGTCTAGTTCATTTATTTTCAGGGAGCTAAGGTGCCTCTGAATTTCTTAGCTTTGATGCGGCTTAGTAGTCATTCCACTGACACAGCAGCATCTACTTTGTTCTACCTTGTTCAGTGCGTGAATGAGCTGCTGAAATTGTGTGTAATTAGAACGGCTAATTCATGCAAATTTTCTAGCCACACAGAAGGCAAAGCCATGACCAGGACGGTCCATCACTTGAAAGTCCTTGTGTTATGTTTCGTGTCTGTCTTGCCTGGTTCCCCCTAGAAAGCGCGCACAGAGTGGGTGCTGAGCTGGCCGGGACAGGTGGTCATCGCTGGCTGCCAGACCTTCTGGACGACCGAGGTGTCAGAGTCTCTAGAACAGGGAGACCTGGCCGAGAGGCTGTACCCTCAGCTGCAGGCCCAGGTAAGCCTGCCGGCTCTCTGTGTACATCTGTCTGTCTTTGAAGTCTTCCGTCCCGGCGCCTGTGAGTGTGCAGGGCTGCCAGCGAGAGCTGCATCGCTCCTCCGGTCAGCTGCCCAGCACAGCGGCTGGCTGGACAAGAGCGTGGCCTCATTCCCCCGCTGTTTCTAGGGGCATAGCGGTCAGCGCTTAGCTCTTACTGGGGACATAAAGACGCGTGTCGCGTGTCCACGGATGATGGCCGCAGTGCGTCTGGGCGCGTCTGTTTGTCACTCAGCTCGGCGACCTGGTGGCCCTGGTGCGGGGCCGGCTGTCCCGGATGCAGCGCGCCGTGCTCTCGGCGCTCATCGTCATCGAGGTCCACGCCAAGGACGTGGCGGCCCGGCTGGTGGAGGAGGGCGTGAAGAGCGTCAGCGACTTCGAGTGGATCAGCCAGCTCAGGTCAGAGGTCACCCGCCCCCCCGGCCCCTCGCACAGGCTTCACGCTTCCTTACTTAGCTGCTCGTCACCCTTGCCTCCGGCTTTCAATTGCAAACTGGTTTTTCAGATTACTCTTCTCTTTGAACTTTGTCTTGCCTTTAACCTCCTGAGTAAGCAGCTTTCACTGGAACACTCCTAACGAGCGGCGCTGGCTTCTCTGTCACGCAAAAATGTCTTCATGTGATTTTGCAACATGGACCTTCTCATCACAGGATAACAAGCCATGTGTTTACGAATCATCGACCGTAAAGGGATTCCCCCACATGGCCATGCTATTATTACTAGCTCTGTAGCGATGACAGGGTCTCCAGAGCTCCAGTGTTGCTGGCTGAGCCCCTGTCATGTGGACGCGACCCCTGGAAGATATCCTGGAAATCTGTCGCTCAGCACGGGCAAAAGACTGAAGGCAGTTTGCGCCCAGCAGCAGTCAGGCCTGGTAAGAGAGTGATCTGCGTTTTCAGGTACTACTGGGCCAGGGATGACCTGTACATCCGCGCGGTGAACGCCGAGTTCCTGTACGGGTACGAGTACCTGGGCAACACCGGCCGGCTGGTCATCACTCCGCTGACCGACAGGTACGGCTCGCCGGTCACCTGACCCCCGCTGTGAGATGGGCGGCCTGCTAGCGTGGCGACCATGGCTGCTGACTTGTCCCCTGTCGTGGCGTCTCTGTCCGTGACACGAACACACTCTCTGTTCGGACGTACCTGTCCGCCTCACGCAGGGCTGGAGGGAGGGAGACAAGCGGGGGGGTGGGGGACGGGGAAGAGGGTTCAAATGAACGTGCGGGTAGAGACAGAGATGAGGAGAGAGGGAAGAAGGGGGGGGGGGGGGGAATAGAGACGTTGGATGGGAGACATGTCTTGACTGCCCCCTCTCCCGTCAGATGCTACCTGACGCTAACGGGAGCCCTGCATCTGAAGTTTGGGGGGGCTCCTGCAGGCCCTGCAGGGACAGGCAAGACCGAGACCACCAAGGACCTGGGCAAAGCACTGGCCATCCAGACCGTGGTCTTCAACTGCTCCGACCAGCTGGACTTCATGGCCATGGGCAAGTTCCTGAAGGGCCTGGCCAGGTGAGAGTGATGCAGCACAGGGTCACAGGGTCACGGGGTCACGGGGTCAAGCTGAAGTGGAGGTTTTGAGTGTCTCATAGGAGTACCTTTACACACACTCACAATCACACACATACCTGCCCACATTCACTTTTTCACACACAACATCACACACAGACATACACGCACACACTCACAGTCACACACTCATACCACACTTACTTGCGTGATGAAACACACAGATTTAAGAAAACAAACACACTCCCCCAAGATATTTCTAGTACAAATGAGAAGCAGGTTGTTGTATATTTCATGAAAAGACAAAGTTATTGAACAGGTTTAGAAAAAGTGAGGGTGCGTGGCATGTATGCGTGTCTTATGACCACTGAATTAAGAGTTTTTCATGTTCCCTTTGCGGAGTCAGTTTCTGAGTCCCACTGGGCTGAGTGGCCTGCTCTTGTCATTGCCCACAGGGTGATACAGCTCACCCTGGCACATCTTCAGTTTTCCCTGGGTTTAACCATCCTTCTGACTGTGCCAGCTTTTCCTGCTGTATGTGTCAGCCTTTACGTCGTTCCCCAGCGCTCCGGCCCCCCGGCCCGGTGTTGCTGTTGTCACTGTGCGTTTGCCGCGGTTGACTGTAAGGGCGCCCTGTGCTGTTGTTCCAGCTCTGGGGCCTGGGCGTGTTTCGACGAGTTTAACCGCATCGACGTGGAGGTGCTGTCAGTGGTGGCTCAGCAGATCACCACCATTCAGAAAGCACAGCAACAGAGGGTGAGGCCACCGGCTCTGACCACTGCGCCCACTCCATGAGACTGGTCTGACCATAACTCCTGACCACCACGCCCACTCTTACACTCTTACTGTAACGCCTGAACACTTTGCCCGGTCGGTGAGACCAGCCTGACCATAGCTCCCACTCTAACAGGGAGAGAATCCAGTCTGGCCATCACCCTTAAACCGACTCTTTCAGTGCCAGACCTCAGTAAGGAGTCAGTAATCTCCAGTCAGGCAGGCAGCTGGGGAAACTGGGAGGCTGGAACCCAGGGGCACAGGAGCATAGGCATGTATCAGTGAGAACTAGAGAATGAGCAGACAGGACCCTGACTCACCAATGACAAAGAATGGCTGCCTTTTACTGTATGTAGTGATTTTATTAAATGTGCTGTATATCAGGATTCCTGGATGATCTAAATGTGATGATTATGGGGCATATTTAGTATTCTGCTACAAGTAGGAAACTGAAAATTGCTTAATTGACCAAATGACGTGCTAAATTATTAGTTGTCAGTTAGACCATAGGAAATTGGTAATTAAGAGCAACAGGAAAATTTGTTGGGCTGTGACTCTTCTACGCTTGAGGTGGGCGCTCATCATACAGAATGCACTAAAGCCACAGAGCCACACCAGACAGGAACTCACACCTCACGCTGTGTGTGTAAATTGTGTGTGTGTGTGTGCACGCAGGCCAGCAGGTTTGTGTTTGAAGGAGCGGAGATCCCTCTGGTGCCCTCCTGCGCTGTCTTCATCACCATGAACCCAGGCTACGCCGGCCGCACCGAGCTGCCTGACAACCTCAAGGTGACTCAATCACTACGTTAATTTTAATAATAATAACCGTTACCGTTTTCAACGAATCCACCATTTGCCGTAGTGCACCATATATGTTACAAAATAAGATGCTTTATACGAGCGATTCTGAGTGATTTATAAGAGTGGTGGGCTGGAACCACCTGGGATGTCTGTTTTCCAATTTGTTTGGGTGTGTCTGATCCCGTTGTTCCCTGGATTTCTTCTCCCCTGTGGTCCAGGCCCTCTTCCGGCCGGTGGCCATGATGGTGCCAGACTACGCCATGATTGCGGAGATTTCCCTCTACTCCTTTGGCTTCAGTGACGCCAAGGTCCTGTCCAAGAAGATCACCACCACCTTCAAACTGTCCTCCGAGCAGCTCAGCTCCCAGGTCTGTGGTTTATAGGCCGGTGGTCTCAGTCAGCCGTCAGTTCGTCATCACTCAGTACATTCTCTCTGTAACATGTCACTCAGTTCATTCTCTCTGTAACATGTCAGTCAGATCATTATCACTGTAACATGTCAGTCGGTTTATTATCCTCGTAAAGGTCATTATCAGTCAGTTCATTATCACCGTAATGAGTGAAATCAGGCTTTGTAGTTGCAATAGATCCCAGCATGCAAACATTCCCAGGTCGGCTTTTGGCTTTAGCTTTTTCCGGAAAAAAAAAACCTCAGTGAAAGGCTTCAGTTTTTAATGTCAATGAAATGGGCGAAGAAGTTCTGACCATCTACAAGATGTTCCCTGCTGCAGTCCGCTCCCCAGCCACTGCTCAGCCTCTGTCTGTGCTGTGTGACGGCACTGTCGCGCCTGTGGTCCAGTCACGCCATCAGCTGTGCTGTAGCAGCTCTGAGCCCCACCCTGAGGATCTGTTCCAAGTCATTGGTGTGTCTCCCAAACACAACAAAATAAGATCCGCCCAGCCACAGAGCGTGCAGACACTTTCCTGCACGCTGGAAAAGCTACGGCCCCAGGGGAATCTCCCACAATTCCACTCGTGCTGCAAATCCCCACACAAACTCGCAAAGCTTTTTTTGCCTTAAATGCACAGGAGTTACTGCTGCCGCGTGTCACTCCAGCACAAATCCGCCAGACTCCACCATCTCAGGCTCCTCTTGGCATCGTCCGCACAGCGTTGTGCTCCAGAGCTGCCTTGCAGAGCCTGCAGCAGCGTGACAGCGCCCTCCGGTGTGTGTCCGTCTGTGACTGCCTGTTCGCACCCTGGTAGGGGTGACACACCACATCCTGTACAGGACTGGCCATGTCACAGGGCTGCGAAGGGATTCAATCGCACGGCTGGCATTACAGTATTCCTGCAGTCTTCGAGTTTAAATTTACGCACCAATGGTAAAAATAATTCCATATGAAGTAGGTACCCGCACTGTGCACAAACACTCTCAGCAGTAAATATGTATTTTCCCAGTTTTACCCATGTAAAATCAAGAGCCGCAGGCTTAGGTGAACGCACTGGGGATGTCTGTGTGCACACAGGATCACTACGACTTCGGGATGAGAGCGGTGAAGACGGTCATCTCTGCGGCTGGAAACCTCAAGAGAGAGAATCCCGCCATGAACGAGGTGAGCTGCTCAGAGCGCAACAGGTATTGCTTCCCCACTCGAGTCCCCCAGCCCAGCGTGCTGTCTCACGTTTCTCTGTGCAAGTATTCAGACTCGATTTCCTGAAACCCTTGAAGCCCTGTGCTTGAACACACCTGCCTTTGTTCAATAGACCTTTCGACACCAAAGAAGGTAAGGCCTCACAGCCGTGTTGCAGCAGCCAGCATAGTAGTCAAATACAACACCTTCCCCTGCAGGACTTTAACCACGTGACGGATCAATGCAGGGTTTTAAGGTTGCAGATTTGCTGTACGTACTAGAACCCTGCATCATTAATTCGTTAAATCACTAGAACATCTGCCTGGTAATGTTCATGTAGAATTGGTATCGAAAACGTACAGTCTGACACAGAACGGCTGTCACACTTAATAGATTGTTCAGTTGGCATTGTTTCAGCTACAGGTGCCACCTTGATGCTATGACTGTAATTAAATAGCTGAGGCCTGTGCAGAAGTGAAATTGAAGGGGATCAGTATTTGACGGTAGACTGTGCCGCGTCCCTGCAGGAGCTGATCTGTCTCCGCGCGATCCGCGACGTCAACGTGCCGAAGTTCCTCCAGGACGACCTCAAGCTCTTCAACGGCATCGTGTCCGACCTCTTCCCCAAGATCAAGGAGGAGCCCATCGACTACGGCATCCTGGAGGAGTCGATCCGCAACGTCTGCTTCAAGAGCTGCCTCAAGGACGTGGATGGTGAGCCGGAGTGCTGTGCCACGGTGGGGGGGTGGGTCGCTGAGCTCAGAGGGGGTGCCCAGGTTGTCCCAGGAGTTACAGAAGCCAGGGAGGCCATAGCTACCTAAAGCCTACCCCGCAATGGGCCTGCTCAGTCAGTTGTGGGGTTTGACGAGTAATGGCCACATTCACTGATTCGGAACGGCCCAGGCTTGTGTGGATGGCACATGGACCTCTGCTATGGTCATTTCTGAGGGGGCGTCCAGGGGTGTCAAAAGTAAGCTAATCAAGGTCTAGAAGGTGGTAGCCTGCATGGTTTACTGCATGAATAAAGAACAAGATGATCTTAGAAAGTAGTGACTAAGACTGTAGAAACTATCGCTTTTTCCAGTGCGTCCTGAGGAGGCTTTGCATGGATGCGTGATCTCTTCCAAATGAGGGCCTGTTGAGAACCAACACAACTCTGCCTTGATGACTTGAATGTGAGGGAGATGGGCTGTGAGTTCGTTTGCTCATGTCTGCGCTTTTCTCACCCTGCAGGCTACATAATGAAGTGCATTCAGCTCTACGAGACCACTGTGGTGCGTCACGGGCTGATGCTGGTGGGGCCCTCGGGGTCTGGAAAAACCAAGGTATTGTAATTAAGGCTGTAAAAACACCGGTCAGTCGGTCTAGCAATCCTGCTCTTCTGCTTCCTACTCTTGTTGGCAACCGCAGCACCCACAGGGAGTGTCCTTCCAGCCTCAATGAACAAAGATTAACTAAGTGATCGGAGGTCTCTATTGGCATTTGAAAAATCTGATATTTCACAGGTTGAGAGACAAGGCTCTGCGCTGTTCTCTCTTGTTTTGCAAACTCAGTCCTGCATTCAAAAGTCTGGGGGTTTAGTTTAACACCTCATGCGTGGCTGTGGGTATGCTCCACTGAGCGCCCAGCTGACACCATGCCTCCCCGCCTCGCAGTGCTACGAGATCCTGGGAGCAGCGATGACGGCGCTGAAGGGGCAGCCCTCCGTCAGTGGGGGGACATACGAGGCTGTGCAGACCTATGTCCTGAACCCCAAATCCATCACCATGGGGCAGCTGTACGGAGAGTTCGACCTGCTGACCCACGAGTGGTGAGAGGCCGCACCACATTGCGAATAGATGAACTGTTCAAGATACACTGTAAGGGTCACGGCTTGCCCACACAACCTTCTCTCCCGCCGACCCCCAGGACGGATGGGATCCTGTCGTCTCTGATCCGGGTGGGAGCTGTGGCGATGGACCAGGAGAAGAAGTGGTACATGTTTGACGGGCCGGTGGACGCCGTGTGGATCGAGAACATGAATACAGTGCTGGACGACAACAAGAAGCTGTGCCTGAGCTCGGGGGAGATCATCAAGCTGGCGGACGTGAGTGGGGTTCCCCGGGGCTCCCAGCTATGTGTCACAATGACAAAGAGTAAACCTAAGGAAGTTGAAATGAACAGATTCATGCTGTACCGTAGCAGTGGTGTGTTTATGATTCTGTTAGGTGGCATAGCAGTTTAGACTGGATTTATCTATGTGTGTTGGACTTATCC